TACAAATAGCTGAAGCTAATTCCTGACCACTCGGTTAGGGTAATCCGGAAGACTGGACAGAAGGGATGGAATATAAAAATAGGAAGAGTATTCTTCAGGCAGTATAAGTTGGTTTTCAAAAATGTTGATTAAACAAAGATATTTTTGACTCTCTAAGCTCTCACAAAATTTTGACCCATTCAATCTTTATAATAACGATAATAAAATACTATTAAAATTACGTATTTACAGATGAGAAAACCAAGGTTAAGTAATTTGCATAAAAGTTCACAGCAAAAGTTTGTCACAAAAAAGGCCGGGGATTTAGCTCAGCAGCATAAGCACCTGCCTGGCAAGTGCAAGGTCATGAGTTCAATCCCCAGTACCGGAAAAAAAAATTTTTTTTGTCACAAATCCTCCAGAAGCATTAAGAAGCAGCCTTGAGAACAAACCCAACCTGTTTTAAATCTATAGGAGACAATGACTAAGATAAACAGATCACATAGAAAAACAATGACTCCATTTAGTTTGACTTTATTTTTTCCATCAAGAATGACTTTCCAAACTGGACATGATGGTGCATGCCCAAAATCCACATACCTGGGAGGCTGAGGCAGGAAGATCACTGAGTTCCAGACCAGTCTGGGCCACAAAGTGAGCTGAAGGCCAGCCTGAACTGATAGAGATACTTTCTCAAAAGGACAAAAAAAAATTATTTTCCAAAAACAAGAATGATCTTCCACCAGGTGTGGTGTTTCACACCTGTAATCCCAGCACTTGGGAGGCTGAGGCAGGAGAATTGCCATGAAGTTGAGTACAGTCTGGGCTACACAGTGAGCTCAAGGCCAGCCTGGACTATACAGTAAGAATGTGACTCAAAAAAAAAAAAAAAGAAAGAAAGAAAGAAAAAGAAACTCTTCCATCTGAAAAAGGTAGAACAAACATCATTATTAGGGAATTGAACACAAGATAAATTTAAAAGAAATCACCTAATGGCACTATGAATTCGGATCTCTATGTCCAAATAATGCAGGCTAAAATAACATGCAAGTCTTTTTTGTGTATGTCTTGTACTGTGAGTAACTACTTTAAAGATTATGGTATTAACTATTCTTTCATTATTTTGTTATACAATTTATTTTTCACTAAAAATAATTACATTAGAAAAATTAACATGCAAGTATGATTATTACGATCACCTCTGAGAAATCTTGAAGGGCGTGGCGTGAAGAACAAAACTGGGGATGAGCAGACATCCTGTCTTTCAAAAGTGAGGAAAAATGACTGTTGCCTGTATTGCTGGCAAGTGTTTGTAAACAGAAGGGTTCCTGAACAAGTTTATGAGCACATGGAAAGGGCACAGTGATTGCCAGAGTCAGCATGAGTTTTCTAAGCAAAAGAAATTCCAAGCTAACTGCGTTTCCTGTTAGGATGAAGTAAAAAGGTAGTAGATCTTAGGTGTCCATAATTTTCATTTATGCTACTTAGGAAACGAAAGAGCTCAGAAAAAACAAGTGATGAGTATCATGGCACATAAAGAGCAAACAGCAATGAGATCCAACCACCCACGCTCTTGACCCGAGAGCTGGGATTTCTAAACTGGGTCAGACTGCTCGAGACTTTTCTCCCACACATGTAGCACTCCCAAGAGCCAAACTTGACACTAAAGCTAACAAAAGGAGAAATCAAGGTTGGGTAGGGGGACAAAAGCTAACAACTGATGTGGTCAGCATAAATCAGGCCACTGGCTGCCCCACAATGTGCACCCCACTTGCATGAGTGATGTTCCCTAAGAATAAAACAGAAAAATAAACTTTAAAATAAATGCCATCTGCAGAAGAACTTCATCCAAATTGTGTTTGCAAATGCATTTCTCAGAAATCTGAAGGGATTCCTAAATCTGATTAACAGGCCAGAATATCTCATGCATAATTAAGATTACCTGCTGATAACGCTAATGAAAAAAAGAGAGGTAATCAAATTAAAGTTATTATCATCTGACTGAGGAAATTATGAGTTAACAGAAGGGTAGCAAGCCACAGGGCATGGACAGAAAACAAAGCCAAAGAACAAGAATTTGGCAGAGTTTATCCAATTTGGTCCAGTGTAGGAAGATATTGTCTCTGGCACTGATGATAAATTTTTGTTAATATTTTGATTACTGTCCCTCCTGTCTTTCTCATGAAACATATTACAGGGAATTACAAAATTTCATCTTTTTCCATAATATTAAAAACTGCTCATGAACACAATCTGATTAGCATCCCAACATGCCTTCACATGGAAATGCTATAATTTATTCAAGTATTACCTTATTTCCTAGATGGTTTTAATTTTTCCTAATTATGAATATTCTGCAAAAATGCAAAAGTTTTGCTCTGCTTTGTATTATTTTTATGGATGGATTTGGGGAATATAATTACAGGGCCAATGAGTACTGACATGTTAAAGCTCTTGACAGATATTACTAAATTGCTTTCCTCTGCTCTCATCAGTGTGATCAGTCTTCAAAACAATTAAACCTTTGATAATTTAGAAGGCAAAATTACACCTCATTTTAATTCACATTTCTTAATGAAGCTGAACATTTTTTCGTATGTCTCTTGCCATTTGATTTTTCTCTTATGTGAATTGTGGGTTCATGCTTTTCGTCTATTTAGTTTTAGTAATTTTGCTTATGAGTTTAATCATCTCTAATAGGTGAAGATATCAAGTACTTATATGTCCTATATTTGCCAAATATTTTTACCAATTTTTCCCCTCAATTGCATAAGTTGTTTCTGAATGCCTTACATTTCTACATAATCAAAATATTTTTGATTTTCTTTTTCTTTATGGTTTTTCTATTGCTTTTTAAAATGTTTTATTGTGCATACTAATAACACTGAATATTGGGTTGCACTGTGACATTTTCACATGCATACGATGTATTTCGATTCTGCCCATCCCCCACTGCTGTCACTCACGTGCCCTCCTGATCCCTTCCTGTTGCCTAAGTCTCTCACTTTCATGTCATCTTTTCCGCCCAGATTCCACATATGAAAGAAAATGCCCTACTTGTGTTTCTGAATCTAGCATATTTTGTTTAATATGATGATCTCCAGGTTTTCTATTACTTTTTAATTTAAAATCCTTCCTAACCCTTGGATTTAAAATATGCATTTATTTTAGAGCACATTTTGTTATGGTTTTATTACTAACATATAACTAATTTCAAGGATTTATTGTGAAAAGTATATACATGATATGAAATACGGCTCTAAATCTATCTTTTCTAGTTACTTATATTGCTGGTAGATTTGTGCAGCTAATATTGAATCAGTCTTTCCCAACTTTCTGACTTGTGATGCTTCTTTGAAACCTATTCAGTTCTTTTATACAATAATTTATTTGGGGCTACCTATAGTTTTTCAACAATCTATTGGTCTATTTTATTTATTGTTTTCATTATTAGAGTATTTTAGTAAAATCTAAATAGGGCTATAAATTCTCCATTTTGTAAATTTTTTATTTTCTCCAATTTGTCCTTCTAACTAACTTTTAAACAGCTTTTCTGGTTCTAAACACATCCCAGTGGAATTTTAATTATAATCTGCTTCATGAGAGTTAGCACAGAAATATAGTATTCCAGGAATCATATCTATTGGAAGGGCACTAATTTCTCAGGGCTCTTCCTAAAACCATCAATTAACGTGGTTTGGGGGCTTTGCTTAGTTAGAATTTTTAAATATAAGTTAATTTCCTAAGTCCTATGATGTTACTAGAATGATTCTAAAAGGTGGATTGGTCTAGAAACACGAATTGACTATTAAAAAAAAGTATATGAGCATTCTACTTAATCCAAACATTGTGGTTATTTTTATAACAAGGAAGAATGGACAATAGTGTGTCTTATGTGAAAATAAAAATATAGATCAGTGTGAATCTACCAATATTCTAAATCCTCTTAAGTATGGACTAAAGTGGTGAGCTGTCATTCTCTTAAGGTAAAGAACCAAAAAGTTGAAAGATACATTATTGAAAGTCAACTCGTGATTTAGAATCCATTGTACTTTTGAAGACATTTGCCAATATCCTTGCTAAGTGTTATTCAAGATTATACTTTATTTTAATGATAGGGAATTTACTACCTCCAGGACAATTTATTTCATTTTTGCAAAGCTATGATTTTTAGAAATTCTGGTACAGAATAAAATTAAACTCCCTATAACTTCCCAGGTGCATAAATCTTAAATCCTACACTATCAGAAATGTATTGTATTTTTGTCTCTGTTTCTTTCTTTTTTTCAGTACCAGGGATTGAACTCATAACCGCCTGCTTGCAAGGCAGGTGCTTATGCCACTGAGCTAACTCCCCAGCCCCTGAAATGTATTATATTTTTAAAGAGGTTCATTACACAATCTCTGAATCTTTTGTTCTCCAGGCTAAGCACATACAATAGTTCACTGACTATCTCATCCATAATGAGTTTTCTAGTCTTCTACTATGACTTTATCAGGCAACACTAAGGAGTTTATCTAATTTGAATGGGTCAGAGGTACAGATATTAGCAGCTGTGGAGTAAGGAGACCTTTGCAATATCTCCCTTGAAATTACCACAACCAACCTCAAAAATCTGAGTTGCAGAAACCCATCAATATACTCCAAAGACAATATGGTCTTAAATCAAATACTGTGAAAGGAAATTGGTGACTAGAATTCATAAAAGAAACTGAGTCCTTAAGTTCTCAAGTCCTAGAGTTACCAAAAATATCATCCAACATCAAGTTTTCTTCCCTCATTGCTTCTCAAGACCTTCAGAGAGGCAGATACCAAAAAGCCTTGGCGGAACCCAACAATATGGGTTGAGGAAGAGTTGAAAGGTGCACCAAGATCTCTCTCATGAAGAAATAGGTCTTGTACGAGGCTTGTGTGTGCCTCACTCCCAGAAACCTTCACTTGCTTGTGATAAATCAATAGGAAGAAGAAGGCATTCTTAACCAAACAAAATGACATTTTCTTTACTTTTATTTTTTCCTAGTCTCCTTTCATCTAAAAGCTGAGCTGTAGAAGAGGTGGCAGAAAAGGGGAGCCTGACCCAAACCATGTACTCACCCACCCAGCTGAAGAGTGAGGTGAGTGAGGGGGTAGAACAGGTCTTGCCATGGCAGCCCAAAAGCCAAGGGCGAAGCCTGCATTGGGAGGAGACAAGAGGAGCCTGAAACAGAATTCTATTGAAAGCTTTAACATGCAAAAAATGACTGGAAGGCTGTGGGATCTGCCCAAACATCGCCAGTGGAACAGGGATAAAGTCTCTATTAGAACAAAATTAAGCAGTTTGTGTTACAGCTCACTGAGGGGCAGTTTCTCAATAAACCCTTTATAAAGCTGCCCTTCCTGATTTGCTTTACTTTGTGAAGGGCAATAAAAAAATCCAAAGACTCATTAGGACAAGTTCCAAAAAAAATACAAGATACTCATTTTCCCCCTAGCTAACTGTTGAAATTAGTTAGATTTCTGCTGTGTGCTGTTACTGTTAAACAAGGCCCTGAACACCTACAGTTTGAAACAGCATCTGCACAACTCCATGAGCCAATGCTACATTTCTATTTTGCTGCCAAAAACACTCCCCTTAATGAACAGGAAGCAAAATAGAGAAAATTCCTTATACTTCGAAACTCTCTCCCAGTAGCAATTGTGTTGTCAAAACTTCTTCCTGTTCAACTAATTGCAACACTAAATGTTCCATGTTCAGACCTTTGCATCAAATGACATCTCTTAGGTATCACCTGCCGGTCTCAACCGTGGAGGGGGGTGCAGTTCAGTGCTTGAGCATATGACTAGAGTGCGTGAGGCCCTGGATTTGATAACCAACACACACACACACCTACATACACACACACACTCACACAGAATACAGAAACTACTCAAGCAGACTTATTCAGTAATAATATTAGTAGTACTAGTATATAATAAGAATGGTTCACATACTTAGGAAGAGGAGGGATAAATCTGGCACAGAGAATACCAGAGTTCACCCACTCGAGCAAGCTTTCCAGATCTTCCCTCCAACTGTCTCTCATCTTGTTCTTTCCTTCTCTCCTTCATTCTCTGCTGTGTGCACAGGGTTGCATGGGACACCACACCCTGCAGAATGGAAACCCTAAGCTTATATTTCTCGATCTAAGAAAAGGACACACTTCTCTCTTTCTCAATGTTCAGTGTTCTCTCCACCATCCCAAGGAAGGACTTGGGTTGATGGATTTCCATCCCATAAACCAATCACTAAGGGCCCAGCTCCAAATCAGAATGTTTTAAATTCATTATTTTGTGCTTCCAGGGATCTTTTAATTCTCATATTCTCTGCCCAAGGATATTTTTGGCCAGCTTGTTGAGGAGGATTGGACATAAAAATGATATTTCAAATGCAAAGAGCAAAATTCATGAGTCAAACTATTCATGGTATTTGTTGTCTAAATATTGTCTAATATTTGTTGTCTAAATAATTCTAGAACTAAATGTTCTAGAATTTCTATTTTCTTTTTTACAGTCCTGATACAAGTATGCTAAATAATATAAATATTCTAGGAAATAATAAGAAAACTCGCAGAGATGGGGAACATGATTAATATGTTTACCTGCGTGAAGATGTAATTCAATTGATTTAGAGATTTGGCCTGTAGAGGGCGGTGAAGAAATAGTTTGGATGGGTCAGGGAAAGAAGCCAGAGGTAAGATTTTCCTACACAAAAGAAGAGATTATCTTCAGGGAAAGCAGGAACAAGGTGAGAAACCCTTCATGCAGAAGCAGACAGGCAAGAGTATTGCCTGGAACCCGGAAAAGGGGTTGTAATTCACTGAAAATACATGGGCATGGCAGAGCCTTCTTCATGAGACATACAATTAACAGGGACCGTGTTCTAGCACCTAACTTAAAGTAAACTCATGGTTCATTATGGGTGTCTGATGGAGCAGCGAACATTCTACTTGAAAATTTCCTACTATGAGAACAACTAATATGAGCAAATTACAAATCAGAAATCTAAGCACGATACCATGAATGACACCCAGAGGGAAACTATTCTAAAACAACAGGAGATATGCAGTCATAGTAGAGCTATGATACAAAATATAGTGTTTAACATTTAAAAAAATAAAAGAAGGAATTAAGTGTACGATAAAAGAATGTAAAATGAATGATATGTTTTAGAATGTAGTAAATTTAGCTGACTTTTATATTGCATTATGACAAATTTAGTAGTGTGAAACAAAACATTGGCTTATCTTTTTCTTATAACATAAAAATTAACTATAGTGACCTACACAGTTTAATCTTGACATAATCGCCCTCTATAAAACATGACTCATAATTTATTTTTCCGTGGATTTTAATAATACATTATGAAGTATAATAAATATATCACCATTTTTCTTCTTATAAAAAATAAAAATTTACTTTTTCTAACATAAATAAGTCTTATTTAGCTAATCCCTTTCACAGAGAGAGCTGGTTTTGACAATCGGTTCAGATAGCAGACATTTTTCATAAACCAAATGTGTTAAAAGTTTATACTGTGAGTTTCTAAAGATTGTAAGACAAAGCATTTGAAAGAAAATGCTACAATGTAAAACTGTTGAAATTAACTACACTATTTTAGATTCTAATGGTTTCTAAATACATTAAATAAAAATAGTGCCTATAAATGAAATAACAAAATTAATAGTCATTTTTTTAAGCCTGGTAAGGACTTTTCCTTAAACTTTTTTAAATTACTCTAGAGAGTGAAAAGCAAATAATTCTAATGACTACATAGCATATCTCTCTGTTGGGTAAGACTGTTTTGAATTCATTGTTTTCAATAAAATTGAAGTAGCACCTAATTGAATTATTGGCTCTTTGATCATTACAATTAAAATTTTATTTTATAGATACATGAGGACAGATCTTGTGGAATTTTTGGTATGTAAACCAGAAGTAGTCAAAAGAATTCAATAACGTTACTATAACAAAACTTATTCTAGTCACACCTTCTAATGTTCCCTTTCCTGTCCTCATCACAGTCCAGGAAGTTTATATTGCAATCCCAAGGAAAAGTTGGAATTCTAGCGAGTTAATTCCAATCTACCACTTCCAGTGCAATTCACTGCAAAAATAAAGACACTAAGATATATTTATAATTATGGGGAGCCAAGGGAGCCCTAAGTCGGGCCAAGATAAAGGCTCATCAGAACAAAGGCCTCAAACCAGGGCCTAACCTGAATTTTATCAATTCTTGAGAAACGGAGTGGCTTGAGGATGAATGACTGCGATGATGGGGAGAAATGCAAATGTACTGTGAGCTGAGCTATGTAGGAGGCTTGAAAACACCTCGGCAATATGCAGAGAGAAGGATACACAGAAACCCAATCTGCTAACACAGTTGAGGTAACATTTACTATTTAGGGGGCAGAGCTTTAGCTGTGATGTGCAAACCCTTGTGACCTGGGGAGTCTTGAGGCTGAACCCAGTTGACAGCACTGGAATGGTGGTTCCACATCCTGCCAGGCTCAATTGTGTTTTGACAGGAACCCCAGGGTGGGGAAACAGTGACTGTCACCTAGCTTCAAAGGTTGCGTATCAGCACCTCAACCAGCCATATTTATATTGCTTAGAGCCAACTGAAGGGAAAATGAAGTGGCTTAGCCAGCTCTGTACTTATCAGTACCAGGAGACAGGACCAGGATTAGCCAGAATAGAGGTAACTGCTCTGTATTCAAAGAGAATCATCCAGGTGGTCCTCCATAGCACCTGTTTTGAAATCAAGATTTCTGAGCACTAATATCTATAAAAATGAAAAAGATGCAAAGTAATGCTCAGATTTTTTCATTTTGGTAATAAATCATTTTTATCCCATGAAATCACAAAAAATCACAAATTAAACAAGTAAAAGCTCTATTCATATCACTTAGGGATGTAATTCCAATAAAAATCTGCTTTTTCCTTAATATTCACCACTATTCACATTTATATTTTAATAATTGCACATTAATAATACTTGTAATAATAATTGGACAAAAAATTTAGAACAGCCTTACATTATAGAAGTTGAATAAAATTTAAAATTTCAATTTCTACACATACTGTTCTAGCAGAGAACTATGATACAGTGATTGATAAAAGGGTTTTCAAAGATACGGTTTTCACTAAGGTAAACTTGAAGTAAAAATTCACTGGGTGGAGCAAAACAGGAAAATGAGTTAGAGGAAAAAAGAAAAAGATACACAATTTCCAAATGGTTAAGACTCATACATGTGTTTTCAACTAAAGATGGTATCAAATGCTTATGTTTAGATTCCACTGATCATCTTTTAAAAAGAAATACAATGGCTTTATTTGAAACGTCAGTATTTACATTACATTAGAATTATATTCTTTAAGATTTTTAAACTCATCAAACTGCTCTTGGTCTTACTGTAAAATATGAAAAGGAAAACACATAGATTTTTCAAATCCTTTTGAGATTGTGTGAGCAAAATCTTTGCAGACTAAGGCTTTAAAAGACAAGAGTAGTGCTTCTAAACCCATCTCTCATAAAAGACTACTTTTCTAAATTTACATCTTTTTGTACAATAAGTGGTCTAGCCGCACATGACTTCTTCACAACCCATCACATACAATTATCACCATGCAAATTCCACAGTGAACAAATTTATCTACATCTGTTCAGTGAGACACATACACAGAAGTGGCTTTAAAATATGTTGCCAAGCTTTTGACCCTCCTCTCTTTGAAAAGCAGAGTCCAACTTCTTTCCCTCTGAGTGCTGGATGGACTTAATGATTTGTTTCCCACGAATAGAATATGGTGGAAAAGCAGTCATAAAAAACTTTACAGCTTCTTCCTTGCTTTCTTTTTTTTGCATTGCTCACTCTGCAAGTCAGTGATCATGTTGTGAGGATGCTCAACTGTCTTTCTGGGAAAGTCTGGGTCTGGGTGTTGAGCATCTTCTAAAGGTCTGTGGGGAAAGCCTCGGTCTCCAGTGCAAGTGCTGTTGGGAGGTGACAGAACCATGAAGAAGTCTTGTAGAAGGTCCTTCGTTCATTGAACCTGTGCCCCCAGCAGAGATTTCAGGACCTCGATCTTTCCATGCTTTTTCCTTTTGCTGCCTGGTTGATGAGGTGAGCAGCTCTGCTGTGCAACACCTTCCTGCCATGGTGTGCTAATGTACTGCCTTGCCACAGGCCTAAAACAATGGAGCCAGCCAACCAAGGACTGAAGCCTCTGAAACCAGGAGCCGAGATAAATCTTTTTCTTTTTTGTAAATGGATTTTCCCAGGTATTTTGTCACAGTCATACAAAGCTGACGCACACAGCTGTCAATCAGCACATGGGTGAGTTATTTTGGAAGTGGATCCTCCTGCACCAGTCAGCCCTTTAGAGAACTTCAGCTCAGCCAGACACCCCGACTACAACCTCAGAGAGACCAACGGCCAGCTGAGCAGATCCAAAACTCCTAAACTACACAAACTGTGAAATAATAAGCACTTGTTGCTACTAAAGCTGTCAAGACTGAAGACAATTTGTTTTGCATAAATAGATGATAAATAAAGCCACTTGTCACATGCTTCAGTGTTCTGGCCATCACTTTGAACATTTCTAAATAATCTCAATTTTAGTACCTGCACAGATTAACAATCAGTTTCTTTGCAAAGCTTTAAGAAAAAGGATGGCATAGAGTCATGAAGTAAACCTTAAGCAGCAGTGCCCTTGACCTCCGATGATGGCCTCATGCATGGTTGCTCTTACTTTTGGGGTATGCCTTTCTCACATGTTCTCCATTGATATCCACCTTCTTTCTTTCTAAACAATTACTTCTGAGCTTGGCACCAAACCCAGCCTAGGAATTGTGGCCGGAGTTACAGAGACATGTGGCATAAAGTATGGAAAAATCTCTATGGAGGGAGCTTCTTTCATGAAGGGTAGAACACATGGCCGGCACTAGACTTTCATAGACTCTGTGGCCCGTCCTTCAAGTGCCACGCAGGCCCTGCTTCTTCTAGGAAGTCTCCCGAATCAGGCTAACTGGGCACCACAAGCTTCACTCTCACTGCCCTGTGCCTTCACCAAAGGCTCCACGGCTCCACCTCATACCAGCTGCCCTGTCAAACTGCAGCCCCCAGTAACTGTCCGACTCTGACCAGCTCCCTTCTTCCCACTGCACAGCGAGCCCTCAAGGGCCTTTCCTTCTACCTCCCCAGGTTTTTCTGGAACTTACATCACTGTATGTTTGCTTGCTTAGCATAAATGCAATTATACAAATGAATTCTTTTCATTAAAACATAGTATTTCATTATTAAAGGAAAGCTTTCAGAAAATTCTTTTGCCATATAAACTATCATACAAACATATACACACTTTAAAAAGTCAATTTATATAGTTGGCAAGCTTGATTTTGAAACTAAAGCACACCAGCTGAAGATTATACAATATTAAGCTTAGAGTAAGTTCTTCAGGGCCGTATTCCCTCTACAGACGTATTTGTAACCTTATTGATTAATAGCTTTGCAATTTCAGGGAAGATAATCTTTTTCTGTATTAACTTCATTACAAAAGGAGATAATAATAGAAGGTGACTCTGAGAACTAAATGTTAATGTATGCTCCTGGAATATAGTAAGTGCTCAATAAATGTTGCCCACTATTAGATATTCTTTGATCACTTGCAAGTAATGGATGTCCTTGCCTTCTGTCTTCTGTATTTCCATTGCAGAGACCATGATTCATTCCTATTTCTTTATATCTCCCTGTTGTGCTAATCTAATAATGTATACAAAGTGGGATCTGTGAACCATCTGACTATGAATCGTCCATAAGTTTTATTTTAAAATGTTCATTTATTAACCTCACTGTAAGTCTAACTCAAAATATCACTGTGCGAGGCTCAGGAAGCTGCACTTTTAAAGCAAACATCATCTGTCTTAGTCTATTTGGGATACTAAAGTTCGGGCATCCTTAATCTGAAAATTCAAAAGGCTCAAAAATCCCACGTAATGCTCAGATACTTACAGATTTTGGACTATTTTAGATTGTAGACTTTCAAACTAGAGATGTTCAACCAATCAATCTATGCAAATATTCAAAATCTGAAAAACTCTGAAATCTGAAATCTACATCCAGGCCCAAAGCAATTTGAATAAGAGATACTCAAACTGTGTAACAAAATGCATTAAATTGGTTGTTTGGTTTGTGTCTGGATGTCCCCCCAAAGCCTCATGCCGTTATGGAGGGCAGGCTTCTAGAGTTTGTGACTGCTTCATGGTCCAATGCTGAGATTACGGATGTGAGTGCTACACCCACCATAGGGTGGATAGCCTACATACAACACAAGAGAGAGAAAGAGGCTTCTCTCTGCTCCTCTCTTTTTTTGCTCTTGCTGTTTTTGCTGTGTTCCAGCTCCCATGAACTACTGCTCCTCTGCCACACCACCCTGCCCTGAAGCCAGGAGCGTGGACTGAAATCTCCACAAACTCTGAACCAAATAAACCTTTCCTCCCTTAATTTTGGGCATCAGGTATCTTGTGTCAACAATGAGAGAAAAGTAACCAAGACACCAGGGAACATAAATAACAGAGATTTATTGCTCACAGTTCTGAAGAGAGTCAGCAGAGTCAGTATCTGAGAAGGCCTCATTTCTCATACACGATGGCTTCTGTGTGTTCTTACATGTTGAAAGAGACACTGTGGCTCCCTCAGCCTCTTTTATAAGGACATTAATCCTAACCAGGAAAGTAGAATTCTCATATCCTAACCACTTCCTAATTTCTTCTGCCACCTTAATATCACTATAATAGAACTATGTTTTAGCATGAATTTTGGAGGCAAAAAAAAAAAAACATTCAGATCATCCCACAAAGAATAACACACTCTAAAATTGAAGAATGTGTCCCCTAGTGTATACAATAGTAACACAGGCATGACAAAAGCAAAGATTAGAGTCCCAAAGGAAACACAAATCAACCTTAGCCATTCTCTGGAAATTTCAGCACTAGCATATAGTCACTAAATATCAAATAAATGCTAGAAGGATAAAGTTACTATGATGTCATTTTAATTCAACATAACAGTTATAATATTGTCCAGGAAGAGAAATGAAAATGCCTAGTTTATTCATAGATAATTTTGTACTATAGTTGGAGGAATATTATGACTCTGCTCAAATAAAATGCAGACGCATTTTAACTTCGGATGTGTTGTATATTATACATGGTTATAGCTTTAAGAAAAAAGAATGGTCATTATCGTTTGGGCATGTTGTTCTTGTCAGATCCCTGTATGCCACTACTCCAGCACCACGGGCTTCAGAAAACACTGTCACGTTTCTGTGCCACATTTGTAAGAAACCAAAGACAAATTGCAGCTGAATTTGTATTTCAAGGTAGTGGTTGCCAGCTGGACATCATTTGTTTTGTCTTGTCCAGAATAGCTATAAATCGCATGGCAGCTACTGTAGGCTCCAGATTCTATTAATTAAGAATGAAAAACTAAACCAGCAGTTTGTCCCCTGGAAGCATATACCAAGTCACTCCCAAAACCAAATCTTGCATCTTTGCAGTCTCATCAGAGGCTCCAAGGTAACAGTGTGGGTGTCCTGGATCTGTTTTTCAAGGAGTTGTCCACAAGTGGTTGGCTCATAAATCAACTAGAAACCTTAATAAAAATAAAATTTTCTACCCTTCATCCTGGACCTACTCTTTCCTCTCTGGCACTATCTCCCTGCCCTACTTCCTGGCCACCAGGAGCGGAGTAGCTTTGTTCTGGCATGTCCTTCCACCATAATGCTTATGCCTTGGAGCCAGCCTACCTTGGACTAAATCCTCCTGAAACATGAGCCAAATTAAACCTGTCCTCCTTTAAGCTGTCAGCATCAGGCATTTTGCTCATGGTTACAAAAGTTAACCAATACATAAAATGGCTACTAAAAAGTGAAGTTGTTGCTGTGACTGTGTCTAACCATGTGGTCAGAAAATTTTGGACCTGGTTTTCAGGAAGAGTTTAGAAAGGTTTGGAGATGCAGGTTAGAGAAGTCTTAAACATGGTGGGTGATTTTGGTCAGAGATTAAAGGGCCAGAATGCTGATAAGGATGCAGACAATAAATCCAAGCTCTGAGGTTTCAGTTGGTAACAAGGACTCTGTTGGGAAGTGGACTAGAGGCCATCTGTGTTACAAACTGGGAAAAAATTTTAACCACATCCTGAGACTTTGCAGGCAGCTAGATTTAAGGAAGGTGGACTCACTGGCCTGATGTGGAAAATTTCATGGGAGCCCAACGTTCAGACTGTGGCATATTACTTCTGGCTGCTTATAGTCACATTTAATAGAGAATTAGAAGAAAAATATATCAAAACTTACATTTTGTCCTGAAAGTTGTGGTCAGAGAAGTTTGGGCTGGTAGAGAGATTCATGGCATTAAAAAAAAAACCAATTAGTTTGAATCTGGATAATAAAAATTATGAATTAGCAACATTCTGGGAAACAGTAGAACCCTACCATTGTGGACTTAATGATGTCAAAGTATAACTTTTCATTTGAGAGTCTCTGGGCCCCTTGCTAGAGAAGGGTTAACTAGGCAATTGGTTCTCTGGGATTTATTTCACAATGCTCAGCCACCCAGGCTCTCAGAGACTACAACCATGGTCCATGGGAATGCAGCTACTGTGCAAACTGGGAGCAGACCTTGACATTATCCATGTTATGTTAAGCAAGCAGAGTGCAAGAGTTGTGGAGTCGTGGAAGCTTTTACCCAGATGTCAGAGGAAGGCCTGGAAGGCCAGGCAGTGGGCCCCTGAAAGGAGGGTGCATACAGCTGTGGCAATAAAGCTGAAGATGCAACAGAGGCCCCCCCCCCAGAAGTCAGAGATGCCAGGAATATAGAACACCTGCTAAGAAAAGCCACAGGCAAAAGACGGTACCAGCTCAAGAAAGAGGGTACATGGCTGCAAATGGAAGGATCCCGGGAATGGGGCTGCCCAAGCCATCTGGAACTCACATCTCACTGCCATGTGCCCCAGATACTAGATACAGAGATACACACTTAATGTTTGCCTGCTGGACTTTTTAAAATCTTGTTTTGGTTCCATTTTTTTATATTCTCTTATTTCTACCTTTTGGAATGAGACTATTTATCCTGTGCCTTTGTATTTTAGAAAACATCCTTGTATTATTTTTTTAAAATTCTATTTAAAGACTAAACAAAACAGAAAATGGGTAGAAACAATACATATGTTCAAAGAAGAAATAAACAGAAAGAAATCACTAGTTGATGTTTACATACTGACCTTTTACAAATAGTTGTTCATGATACAAAAGTGGAACATATAAAGTGGGAATTCAAACCACAAGACTGCAAACAGTTCTGTTCAAGTATCCCACAAAAACTTAGTAATATGCTTGTCAATATTAAACACTTAAACATACATGCAGTTATCCATGTCTTCATTTATGTTCAGATTAAACAAACTAAAGCAAGCTAAAATCATTCTGAACAAAGAATAATAGTATTGCTGGATTTCACATCATGCTACTCTGGGATCAGCACTGGGAGCTGTAGTGTCCTTTTTTAAAAAATTTTATTTAAAGAAAGACTGAACAAAACAGAATATGGGTAGAAATAATACATACTTTCAAAGAAAAAAATAAACAGTAAGAAATCAACTAGTTGATGA